GACATCCAAGTTCAAAGGTCCTTTAATGAAGTGTCTCTTGGATGTTAATTGGAGATGAACAACACTCGTCTTACCACACTGTTGTCTGGATAAACCCTTTAAAAACTGTGGGAGTCTTGGAAACAAACACAATCCCAGCATGATCTGAGGGTGCTGAAAGTCTCTGCAAGGTGCAGTATCAGCAGATCATCTGAAACTCTGCAAAACTGCAAAGCCTTGGGAAAGCAGTCCTGTCATCACAGTGTCACCAAACCTGAGCTCTAAAACAGTGGAAATTTCACCAGTAACTTGCACTAATACACAGCACTGTGAATGTGATAATAGTATTCGCCAATTATAAAATAGTCCCAGCTATAAATCACATGTTCCAAATGCTCCTCCTCACTTATAAACCAGTTGCCTTGTAAAGAAGTTATTAAATGTTTCATATGGTCTGCAGCTCTAGTGGTATGTATCTCACAGTGGCAAATTCTTCAAAGGCTGGATTCCAGGAGGGCTCTGCAGTCACACTCACACATGGAACACTGAGCAGAGCTAATAGGGAGCAGGTTGGAGCTCCTTTAGGGTCCCAACAGTAAATCCATATGTCACAAGTATTAGCTATTAATGCCTTCACATGAAGTACTGTAGATTTGGACTGAATATTTGTCCATTGCTCTATCCTTGGATTGAATCACAGGGTAAGATGTTTAATGACTAATAATAATTTGAATGAGATGTGAGAGAAGAGAGAATTTACAGCTGCTTTTGGCAATTAAAAACACTAGACCACATTAGTGTCAGAGAACATGATGGAACCAAGGCATAAACCTCACCCCTGTACCAGTCACCAGTGCTCCACCATCCATTCATCACTACTAGGAAATAACCTAAGTATTCTTAGAATATTTGCAAATCACAAAGTTTGCTTAGGTTTGCAATCGACAAACTTATGGTAACCATAATAAACAGGGCCAAGACTTAAAATAAACAAGGGATTTTATAAAACAACAAAGCTGATGTTCATTTTGCTTGTCCTTTGATACCTAAACTTTTAGCATACATTGACATGTTCTCAAATTTTTCTTCACACCCAGAAATATTCATACACATGGTGGATTTCTTAATTGAAAGCTAAGACTTTCAGGAAAGCCTTGAATTTTACAGCTGGTGCTTTCAGAGATGCATAAAATCTCATGACACTCCTGATAACCATGTCAGGGGTTGCCATTGACATGACTTTCATATCTGAGTACTGCCATGGTCACTGCACAAAACTGCTTGAGAGTAAAAAAGCAATAATTAGGATTATAGGCCCAAGTTTGCATCTTAATGCTACTTTACAGGTTTGCTGCCTAATCTGCACTGTGCTGGGATGTATCCTGCACTCATGTGCAGCTCCTGAGAGCAGGAACTTACAGTTCTGGATAAAACCTGAAGACATCAATGATCAATACAAGCAGGAGTGATGTCTTCTTCCTATTGACTGGCACCCCACATTCTACCACTGCCCTTTAACTGCCAGTGGACAGTGCCAACACCACAGAAATATGTACAGGCAGCAGGGACAGTGAGAAATTCAACATTGAAATAATTTCTCATGGCTGTGACTGACACTTCTCTCAGAATCCCAAATACACCAAATTATTACTGGTTGAACACCATAAGGCAGGATAAAGTGAGGAGCTGTGGGCAGTGCTGGCCAAACCCCCTGAGCCCTGAAGAGCTGTTCCCAGCACTACTGCCTTCCCAGCCTTTTTTACCAGGTGTTGGAAAGTGCAGTCCAAAGGGCCAGTAACACAAACAGCAAATGCTACCCATAAACACTTCCTTCAGCCAGAGGGCTGTTACCTTTCAGGGTTATTTTCATTGCTTGGCATCAGCTGGGATACAGATGGCTGTTACTTGCTGCAGAACTAGGTCAGTGGCAGGAGTGATATCAAGGAAAAATAAAAATTCTGGAGTTTTGACACCCAAACTATGCAAGTAACAGCAGCCTAATGGACAAAATAATATCCCTGAGAGATCTCATCAACCTCACTCTTCACAGATGTGGCTGCCCTACCTAGTGACCGCACTAGGACAGAGGACTAAGGCAGTGTCATTACCAGCATATATTCATTACTTTTTCATTAGAATCCAATAATTCCTACAGGAGTTAATCCTTCTGCCTGACCTTATAACAATATATAACCAACCTTTTTTTACACTGCCTATTATCTAGTTAATTTATAATAGTTTATAGAAGAAAGGTTAACAAAGTCACTACTATTGTTCTAAGTCATCCTGATGTTCCATGTATCAAAGACAGGTCCCTGTATTCCTTCAGTCCCTAGTTTAATACAAAGCGTTCTGCAGCCAAAGCAACTTAGGGGAGTTTCCTCTCCTCATGCTTCTTCCAAGGCTGGTTTCCCAATTCTCAGCACTATAAGCAGGCACAAAGAACAGGGGTTTTGCCTGCAGCATGGAGCAGGAGGAAGCAGCTATGTGCTGGGGAAGGCACAGTTGCAAAAAACTACCTTAAATTGATATGGCTTCTTTTAGTCATGTAAATCTTCACTAGGAGTTTTGACTGAGTAATGTTATTTGACCCTGGTAAAATATGGAAGGGTAGCTCTTTAGGTGGGAACAATCAAATCATATCTGGAAGCCTCATTAGAAAAGTAAACACATATTTAGCTAACCAAATTTTGTTTTCCCACCTGAAACCATGTTGTGAGCACATTTAAGTACTACAGCAGCAGTGTCTGGGCTCTTTGAACCCACAGGAAAATCTTCAGAGAATATCCTATCACACAGCCCTGGGACATTTTCACTTTCTGATTCAACAGACTGTACCAGCCTGGATAAGTGGTTTTAATTAATTTCACAGTTTAATATTTTTTCTCAAAGTAGCTGAACTTTATGTCCTATGGCTCAGAGATCACCAGTGATCCCAGGGCCTCAGAGCAGAATCTGCTTAAGCCATTTAAATGGAGATGAGTCCGAGTTGCTGTTGGAAGGCGAGAGATTGCCTTCACCCCATCTCTCCCCTCTCCACCACACCAGCCTTGATGCAGATCTAGTATTTGAACTTTGCTGAGCTGGTTCAGTTTGCTGCTCTGGCAGCAGTTTATTAGGGTTTTTATTTAGTTTCCTGACGGTTTATTGAGCTGAAAGAATTAACAGAGGAATTGGGTGAATTTTGAGTCAATGTCAGGAGAAAGGGGAGAGAAGAGAGAATGCTGCTGATCTTCCTTCAATATGAAAAGGGCATGAAACATAAAAAGCATTAGGGCCTGTCCCTCTAACCTTGGATCTCCTGAGCTCATTACAGAAGTCTGTACCTGGAACATGGATGTGTATCCAGAACTCTACCATCAGAGATTTACCAGAAATCTGCATTGTGTCTGATAATAATTCCACAAAAACTAGTGGCAAAAGTATTTTTTTCAAAACCAAAAGCTTTCAAAAAAGGACCAGGACATTTTGCTCAGAGAATCAGAGAATGTGTGTGGGAATCAGGCTGCCTGGGATTCCAGATCAGGCAACTATCACTAATGAAGGGCTGTATCCCAACCCTAGACCATGGGAAGCATTTGTTTAAGTTGTGGTGACCCCAGAGAAAAGTTGCCAAAGAGTTATGGGATTATCCATGCTAATATCTAATTTACTAGTCAATTATCACCACTCCCATAACCAGAATGTTCTCCCTTCCTTGTGTTCCCATTGGCTCTCAGTTGGTGCAATGTTCCATTCCGCCTATCCCATTGGACCCTGCTTCCCCTCGTCCCACCTCTGCACCACTTTCCCCTATACCCAT